TGTGTGTGTGTGTGTGTGTGTGTTAAATTTCCTTTTATGTATAGCATGTGCAGAAGGCATATAGATGCATTTTTGCATGTGTGTGTGTGCGTGCATGTCTGTGTGTTTCTGTGTGTGTGTGTGTGTCTGTACAATTTCTACCACACAGACTGACCAGTCTGGACAGCTTCCCTGTGGCTGTATCCCAGAGGGTTGGGGCTTTGGCTCAGCAGTAATTACAGGATTTGTCATCACAGAAGCTTCTGGGTCTCATTCTCAGGGGCAGGTTTGTCCCGTAGGATGGTCTAATCTGCTTGGAGGGCAGTGGAGGAGGATTCACACAGGGCTGTCCCGCCTTCCCTCCGCTGTGGCCTCTGCCCAGTCCCCTCTGTGGCTATCAACCACTAGGCTCCAATGAGTTTTCAAGACCTGTCAGCATGGCTGTAGGTGAGATAACCGGGTGGTCATGATACAAGTGTCCTTCCTTGCCTCTGGCATAGACGACAGGTTTCTCTGAGGGGAAGGCTTAACCGTGTTTTTTTTAAAATCCAGTCTTAAACCTCTAGATTCCCTCAGATTCTAGACAGCCTGGCGCAGTGGGCATGTGACCCACTTCCTGGCCATCCTCTGCCCTTTCTGAAGGACCCTTCAGAGGGCCCACAGTAGGATGTACATATCTGTCTGAGCTGAGTAAGGCTGGCCACAGGTCTGTCCATCATGGCTCCAGGTGCTCCTGTGGGAAGGCATCCTCTGTTGAGAGATGTGAAGCCATCAGCTCCAACCCTATCCCAGAAAGCCCTGGCCCAAAACCCTGAGGCAGGAACACTGCACCAGGTGCTCAGTCACAGAGAAAAGCCCTGGCTGGAACTGAGTATCCTAGTTACTTTTTATTGCTGTGATGAAGACACAGACCAAAGCCAACTTGGGGAGGAAAGGGTTTATTTTATCTTATATCTCTTAGGACATGGTTCATCACTGAGGGAAGTCAAGGCAGGAATTCGGGGCAGGAGCTAAAGCAGACTATGGAAGAACGCTGCTTACTGACTTGTTCCCCTGGCCTGTGCCCAGCCTGCTTTCTTATCCAACACAGGCCCACCTGCCCAGTGGCACTGTCCACAGTGCACTAAGCCCTCCCACATCACCCAACAATCAAGAAAATGCCCCACAGATATGACCGAAGGCCAGTCCAATGGAGGAAGTTCCTCAATTAAGGTTCCCTCTACCCACGTGTGTCAAGTTCACAACTGAACTGCCCATGACAGTTGATCCTTTGTCACCTTGACACACAAACACACCACTATTAACCCACAGCTTTTCCATTTTTGTCCTCAAGATATGATGTTAATATAACAATATAAAACAGTACAACTCTAAAAGCCCCACAGTCTTTAAAAATCCCAACGTCTTAAAGGTTCAAAGTCTCTTTAAAAAGTCTCCTAACTGTGGGCTTCTATAAAGTCTAAAACAAGTTACATATTGTCTTATTTCAAGAGGGAAGAAGTTGAGACATTTAAGTTAAACCAAAGTCCGACAAAGTAGCTCAAGGCTGGACGTCTGGGATTCGCTCACAGTCTTCTGGGCTCCGAAGGGCTTGGGCAGCTCTGCTTCTCTGTCTCTGCACACACAATTCGTCTTGTAGGCCCAGGCTGGTTCTACTCCTTACCTGCCACTGCCCTTGGTGGTCATCCCATGGTCCTGGCATCTCAATATACTGGGGTCTCTACTGTAACTGAGGCTGTACCCTCACCACTGACCTCTCCTGGCCTCACAGGGTGCCAAGCCTCAGATTCTCTTCATCACTCCATCATGTCTTTAAGACCAGCACCATCTGGGAGACTGTTATATGTTACCAAGTCTGGCTTGTAGCTTGAGATGCAACCTTGGCCCCTGCTGGACCTCAGCTTCTGTGTGCTGACCCTGGGAAGTACTTCCAAGAAGATTTCACTAAATGATTCTGGTCTCTTAATCACAGCTGATTTTCAGCACCAGGTGACCAGAAACCACAGATTCTCAATTCAAAATATCATACAAATAGCCCCGATAGTCTTTGCTTCCTTTGAAACTTTACAAGCCTGGCCTCTATCATCTGCATTTCTTGAAGATCTCACAGAACAACTCACTAAGCTTCAAGCACTTTTCTAGTCCAAATTTGCAAAAACTTCCACAATCCTTCCAGTCAGATATGGTCAGGTTCACCACAGCAATACCCTACTCCTGGTACCAATTTCTGTGCTAGTTACTTTCTATTGCTGTGATAAAGACACAGACTAAGGGAGGAAAAGGTTTACTTCATCTCACATTTCCCAGGTCACAATTCATCACTGAGGGAAGTCAGAGCATGAACTCAGGGCAAGAACCTGGAGGTAGGAGCTGAACACCCTGTGGAGGAATGCTGCTTACTGACTTGCTCCTCTGGCCTGTGCTCAGCCTGATTGGTTATACAATACAGGGCCAGCAACCCATAGGTGGCACTGCCCACAGCGGGCTGGGCCTTCCCACATCACTCAACAATCAAGAAAATGCTCCACAGACATGGCCACAGGTCAATCCAATGGAGGAAATTCCTCAATTAAGATTCTCTCTATGCAGGTGTCAAGTTGACAACTGAAGTCATTCAGCACAACAGGCCACCTCGACAATGAGTTTGTGGAATTTACAGAATGAGCTTTGATTATTAAATGTAGAATTGTTGATTAGAAAACCCCTCTGTTATAAGCATGCATATATTGAAATAGTTCCTCTCCTAGGACTATGTTAATGCTATATGTCTTAGTTATTTTTATGTCTCTGTGATCACAATCCCTGACAGAGACCACATAAAGGAGAAAAGGTTTGCCTTGGCTCAGAGTTTCAGAGGGGTTTAGTCTGTCCTGGTTGGGAGAGCACGGCAGGACAGCTCAACCCTTGGTAGCAGGAGCATGTGGCAGTGGCTGTTCACACCACTGTGGGCCAGAAAACAGCAGGATCCAGGGCAGGTGAGCCATTCAAAGGTCTGCCCCTCATGAACCACTTCCTCACCTCCTCCAGCTTGACTCTCTCTCTCTGAAGGCGTCCATGGCCTCCCAGAAGAGCTCCATGCTTCAAACATGAGACCCAAACCAAAACAGTGCCAGTGAATTTTGCTTTTGTGAACTTTCACTGGATTTTTCTCCCTTCCCCACCCAGGATCCCATCCCCTACCAAATCCCAGTGTCTTTCCCGAATGCATGTCATCGCTGGCCTCTCTCATCCCACTGCTAACAGGCAGGCTTCTAACCGTCTCGGGTCCCCTGTATGTGCCTCTGTCTCTTTATCTCTCCACCTTCCGTAGTCTCCTTCATCCCCAGGTCTGTCCATTCCCTTGAATTCCCACCTTCTCTAAAGTTCATGAATGCTAGCTTTTGCAGCAACAGGCCATCCCAGAACATCCTCCCAGGCCCATCCTGAGCCAGGACGAGCCTCTATGTTCCAGAATGGTCCTTGGGAGTCCATCAGTCCCCTCATCTACTTCACTCTACACCAGGGCCCTTCTGATGTCCAGGCCTTGATTTATTTTCTCAGAATCCTCAGTACCCAGCATGGGACCAAGTCAGAGTCAATACTTAGTCAGTGGTTTTAAATGAACAAGTTATTTTTAAATGACTCTAATATCCCCTGTCTATCTGCTGAAAATATGGAAGCAGTGGGCCCTGAGGGCAGCAAACCAGAGCCCAGGTTTCTACTTCTGCTCTCTGATTAAAAGAACCAGGGCTTCTGGGAGGATCGGTCAGTTGGTGGGCTAAGGCAGGTACACAGAGGAGCCTGGAGCCCTGAGAATGGCCAACGGTGAGGACGGATGTGCTTCCAAGGCACACAAAAGACTGGAGACTGGGCCCCAACCACAGAACTCCAGATGGCTGAAGCTTGGGCCGCTGGGCAGCAAATTAAATATGATAGCGCTGGATGGTAGCACAGGGCCTTATCCACACATCCGTGTGTCTGTACAGCCACAAAGAGATGTCACCATGAGAGATGCTCAAATGTTCCACCAGAAGGATTCCAGATCACTTGAAGGATCCTTCCGAGGCACAACCCCTTACATGGGACTGCCTGCAAACCAATTCCTTTCAGAGTACAGTGTGCAAAGTGGGAAAGAGTTACCTGTGTAGGGAATGCCTGACAGATACCTCAGCCGGGGGCCCAGGCCCCTATCCTTAGTGGTGAGTAACAGGCATACTGTGGACTGCAGATATGACATGCCGCAATGGAAGGTTGGCTCTGTGGCCATCCTCCAGGTCATAGAGCTTCCTGTAAATAACCCTGTAGAGGGCCAAGGTCATCAAAGCAAGGGAGCCTAGGGAAGTGACCCAGTATAAAGGAGCCTTGAGAAACATAAGCCTCAGTAAACCATGAGATCCTGGGACAGAGAAAGAAAATCAAGGACAGGTGAAGAAATCCCAATGATGTGGAAACCTTTGTTCATGACCAAGGACTAATTTTCATGGCAACAAACCTAGGCCACTGATGCAAGGTGTCATGGGACAGGAGTGTGGGAGCTTCTTGGTGTATTCTCCTACTTTTTCTGTAAATCTAAAGCTGTTGTAAAATAGATAAACCTACATAGGAAAAGGAGGTTCAGTGTTGGTTTAGAAAACGTCAGCTGAACTTCTGCTAAGGCCAGTCTGTGTGCAGGCCCTCCCCTTCTGCCTTAGCCTGTGGGCATCTGAGAACTTTCACAAGAGACTTCTGCTTTTGAGATCTGACATTGGAATGTCCCCCTTCCCCACAGGCAGCCGGCTGTAGTGAGGCCAGGGCCCCAGAGGATACTGGGTGAAGAAGTAGTAAAGAGATTCAATTTTCTAATGTTCTTGGTATTGATTTTCATGGCATATTTGACGTGCCCCTCACTTTTATACAACATGCCTCCCTGAATCCATTGTACCATAATGCTGTTTTTTTTTTCTTTTTTTCTTTTTTTTTTTTTTCCATTGATCATTTTGGCAAACTCCATCCAGGCTCAGCATCAGATGCTAAAAGAAGCTCTATTGAATATCTTTCTCCAGGTGTCAGCGTTTTCTACTTGGGAGAAAGAATTACATAAAATTGTGTTTGACCCGCGCTACCTCCTGCTAAACTCTGAGGAGCGAAAACAGGTAATGCTGAGCTGAGGGACACGGGGACTAGAGACGGAGCTGGGAGCTGCTGGGCCCTGGCTGAGAGTTTGCGGGTAAAGTTGGAGGCTCATGCTTGGAACTGTTCCGTCCTACTATCTAGTCGTGACCACTGTAAGAAATGACTCAGATTCCAAGATAAAAATACAAATCTTAGGAACACCAACCCCTTTCTAATAGCTGCACTCCTTCAGAAACATGGCCAAGGTCTGAGATATGTCCTGACAGTGAACCAAAGAGGCCAGGGAGCAGACTCATTAAAAGTAAAGGCTGACATTCTAAAATGCAGGCTCTAGAAAACGCAGGCCTGGCTTGGAATGGGGACTCCCACCCAGGCACTTCTAAAGAGTGACTGGCCACAGATCCATTCAGGCTTGTTTGTGAAGGACTCTCAGAGCCAGCTCTACTTTCCCAGGTTGTGCAGACAGCTGGAGGGACAGGGAGATGATGTGTGGCAGGAGGGTGTGCTGTACCCAGGGAAGGGGAGGGTACCACCATGCCTTAGCTGGGGCTGCAGAGCAGAGCTGAGGTAAGGATTATAAGACCCAAGTTCTGCATCTGCAGACCCTGACCTCAAAAGACTCCTGGAGGCCATCATCCCCTTGGCCCTGTGGAAAACGGAGGGACTGAGCAGTATTACCAGAGGAAAGGGCCCTCGCCAGGGCTCTCCAGGTCCTACTGGTGTCCCAGCAGGTGGGTTCTTATCAAGATCCAGACAAGCCGCAGAAAGAGTGCGTTTTTGTATCTAGTCATTATTGGCTCATAAGCAGAGGCTGAGATGGTACATGCCGAACACCCAGGGTGTCACCAGGAGGGGCCTGTGCCTCCCCTCTCCTGTAACTGTAAACTCCTCCTGCTGCTGGGTGGTTGGCTGGGAAGCACAGAAGGGTCCTGAATTGACCACTTAGAACCCCAGCTTGATGCATTCAGGAACATGGGATGGAGTCTTTTCATTGAGTTTCATTTTTCTAGACAGGAAAGTTTTAAAGTGCATGAGGATCACTAGCATAACTTCAAGTCCACAGGTCTCCGAGTTGGACTTGGGCTCCACTTGTGTTTTTTATAGTTGAAGAAAACTGTAGATTTTAATAATTGATCATATTTCACCCTTTTGTTACATTATTAAAAAGCAAAAAGTTCAACTGCTCAGCAACAAAAAAGCCATTTGTGAGAAGTGGTGAGTTCCTGCGCAGGCTTTGCTTTGTGGGAAGAGCCACCGAATGGCTAACGTGCAAAACCAACCTGCGCATTTGCAGTGTGCTTCTCTCCCTGGTGTGGGGGATTAAAGATGTGAGCCACCGTGCCTGGCCAGGTCAGGCTTTTATAGCTAGATTTTTTTTCTTTTGTGTGTGTGACCAACTGTTCTCTGCACACATGGGTGTATTTTAGAGCCTATTATCTGCTTAAAGGAATCCGAAGAAGTGAGACCATCCCCAACCCTCAAAGCAAATCCTTGTTTGTTATGAGGCCCCTTCCAATAACTTCAGTTTACGCTTAAGTCCCACCCCTTATACGGGCGCACAACTGCCCGGGCTCTCGCAGGAGGGACTTGGTTTATAGGCAGGGTACTGTCACCCACCTCCAGATGTCTAAGGGCAGAACCTCCTGCTTCAGATCATCCTAGGAAGCAGGTGAGACTTAAGCCTCCATAAACCCTGATCAGAAAGGGCAGAGGCCAGCCCTGGGGGTCTGAGTCCCTGCTGAGGGGAGTCAGCCATTGCCTGGGGTGCCTTTACATCCTGGGTCGTCTCACACCAAGAATCCTTTATTTAGGGAAAGCTTTCAGAAGTGCCTGTGGGAGACTTCAGAGCCGCAGCAGGAGGTAGCCCAGCCTCAGAGTCCTCGTGCCCTGGGGCCTCCAGAGAATACCCTTGTCCAATGCAGGGCAGCCCTACCACTAAGGGAAGCTCTACAGTTTATGAGGAGTACTTTAGTGGCTGACCACAGGAAAGGAGCCATATTTGGCCTCTATTTGGAAAGTACAATCTAGTTTGGTGGGGAGTGCAGCTTCATACAGAATCTGCACAGGCCTATGGCAGTGTTTGATGGGGAAAGCTGAGCCTCGTGGTGTGGCTACAAAGGAGATGGAGTGGGCCTAAATAGAGAGCCAGGGCCCAGGGAGTGCTAATCAGCTCGGTTTCTATGGTAACGAGAAGTGTTTCATTTTATTACAGCAGAGCCTCCAGAAAAGGAGATAACTGGCCAGTGCTCTCTGTTCAAAAGTCATGCTCCAATTTGGATAAAACGGGTGTAATTTGTTAGAGGGGAAATACACCTGCTACATTAAATGATGGTAGCATAAATGAAGCAACAGAAGAAAAAGAGAAAAAAAGGACAATTTGATTAGGTAGATAAACGGTTCTAGGCAGGAAGGGATATGGATATTTCGTGTATGCTCTGACCCCACAGCCAAGCCAGCCTTTTACCCACATTTAAAATTAATAGAGCAAAACTCTGGCTAATGATGGAGCTGCATGCTTTTATTTGGATAATAGCCCTGCATTTACCTCTCCCATCAGTTTAAATTAGAGGACCTCCAGAGAGACAACTCACTGTTTGTCTTGAAGGGAAAATAAACCAATCATATTCTTGCTTAAATATGTGTGCACGTGTTCAAAATTTAAGTCGTATTTGTGAATATTTCACTCTGCTGCTACGGAGTCTTTGAGAGGCGGGAACATCTTGTACTTAACATCCTGTAAGGGGCACTATTGAAGAATGGATCCGAATCTGGTGTGGTGGCACACACCTATGGTCCCAGCACTCGGGAGGCTGAGGCAGGAGAATTAAGATTTCCAGGCCAGCCTGGGCTACATAATGAGACTCTATCCCCCCCCACACACACAAAAAAAAATAGTGAGAAGCAAAATGGAAAGATCTGAAAGAGCTACCATCAGAGTAGAGTCGGAGACAGGCCTTCTGTGCCAGCACTCCCCACCCCCTTCCTTGGCAGGAAAGCTGGGCCCAGCCACCTTCTCTGAGAGCTTTGTGAAGCGGTGCAGAGCTTCTATTTACTGCTCTGGTGGAATCGCATGTGGATTTTTATTGATATTTTTATTTATGTTTGCATAAATATTTAAATTATCTCCAGTCTATTTTTTTAGTGTTCTGGATGCTTGGATAGCATTAGGAATGAAATGGCTTTGTCCTTCCCCCTCCTTGACTTTATGGTCTGCAAGTGATAATTTTTCTAATGTTGCAACAATGAACAGTCTTACTCCGACAGAGAAACCTTTAAGCTGGGCATGGAGCTCCGTAGGCGGAGCGCTTACTGAGCATGCATGAAGCCCTGGATTCCAACCCCATCACTGCACAAACCAGGCTCACACACCTGCAATCCCAGTACTCTGGAAGAGGAGGTGGGAGGGCCAGAAGTTCACAGTTATCCTTGGCTGTATGACAAGTTCAAAGCAGGCCTACAATACATGAGACCCTATCTCAAATGAGCCAGCAAGCAGTCGACCAAAAAGAGGACCAGTCTGTGGCCAGGGAAAGATTTCAGGGTCTTCCCGTTTCCAAGAGGAAACAGTGTGAAGTCTTAAGTCGATTTGTATCCAGACAACATTCTTATGTTCCATACTGAGGAACAGGGATTCCCACTGGGTCATTTGAAATACACTTTTGGTCAAACAGGGGTATGTGCAGTGCCCAAAGTCAGCTCGCCTCCTTGGTGGCTTCTGCCCTGATGGTCAGTGCTGAGTACAAATCCCCTAACGTCTTCCGGAGAGGCCCTAGGTGCACCGAACCCTCCCCGGCACCAGTTTCCCATGCAGAAGTGGTTTCCTGGAAACTGGAGTGTGGGAATGAGATGCAGAAGTCTCACAAGTTCTGGTCAGTTTTGGAGACTTAAAGGCCAATTCCATCACCACAAGAAGCAGCTAGGCTAGATTAAACTCTCTGAGGGCTTATAAGAGCTTTGGCAATGATGTGAACAATACCAACAGGCAAGTCACTGTAAAAATCGCAAGTTGAGCATGATGGGGTTGCACGTAGTGGGGGGCTCCCAGTGGTGATAGCAGGGAGGGCCAAAGCTCTCCAGGACCCCAGAGCTGGGCTGACTCAATGTTTGGTCTGTATGTGCTGCCCATGGAGGGGCATGCCGGACCTCATGGGAATCAGGACTTAGCTACTTAGATGCCTCCGTATCCTGGAGGGCACCCCAATACAGAAGCCTTGCTCACAGGCCTGATAGCCAGGACAAGGAATGGCTTTCCTGAGATGCTGTGCTTTCTTGCTGTGTCTAGGATACAGGATTTCATTTCTGAGATGCAGTTTCATAATAATTTTCATTTGTGCATGTGTTTAAAGATATTTGAACAGTTTGTCAAGACACGAATTAAAGAGGAGTACAAGGAACGGAAAAGCAAGCTGCTGCTAGCCAAAGAAGAATTCAAGAAACTTCTAGAAGAATCTAAGGTATCACCCAGGTATGGAGTTTTCTGGGGCTGGAAATACACCATCATTATCAAGTCTATTTCACTAAATCATATGACATAACATTCCAAAGACATCAAGACATTTACCTGAAAGACCTGCTGGTGACAAAAGCCTGGATTCCCTACCCGATGCCAATGTGTGAACCTGAAACTTCTTTTCAGTCAGGCACAGAGTGTGGTCTGCTAAGCAATTTCCCTGTAGCCATTATGCTCCCCCCCAAACCTCAGAAGGTGGGCAGCTCTGACTCTGTGATCTAAGTTACCAGTCCATGGTGTGTCCACGAGATGGGGTCAGCTCCTGATCAGATGACCAGGGGGAACAAAGCAAAAACACCACCACCAAAATGAACCACAGGGTCCCCTTGCCGGGGCCTGTTCAGCAGGTGGCCTTGGTGGGTGGGCACTGACGACATGCCAGGAAGGTGACCCCAGTTAGCAGCTGCCGAAACTGCTTCCAACAGAAAAGAAGGCATGATGTCCGTGGCACATCAGAAGGAACGCTGGTAGCTATCAGAAAGCCACACAGGCTGGCTTCTTTATAAGAAGCCTTAATGAGGGCATTGTTGTTTTAAGACATAATGAACAGGTACTACTTCTAACACCAGAAAGCAGGGCATGGTGGTGACACTTAATCCCAGTACTTGTGGGCCTGAGGTAGGAGGGTTGTGAATTCAAGGCCAGCCTGAGCTGCTAGTAAGTTCCAGGCTTGCCTGGGCTACAGAGTGAGCCTATCTCAAAAAGAAAACAAAAGAAATATACCTATATTTTAGACTTCATAAATATAAACATGATTGATTTTAGTATGTAGATGTGTGCGTGTGTGTGTGTGCGTGCGTGTGTGTGCTTGCAGGTACATGTGCCTATGCCTGTGCCCTTGTGCGGAGGCCAGAGGGCGTCAAGGAGTATCCCCTGTCACGGTCTACCTTCCTTCTGATGTAGGGTCTTTTGCTGAACCTGGAACTGGAGTAGTTTGGGGTGTTTTTGTTTGTGTCTTTTGTTTATGCTTTTCTGTTCTGTTCTGTTTTGTTTTGTTTTGACTGAGCTGGCAGCGAGCTCCACTTACCTTCCTGCCTCTACCCCCATAAATGCCAGGTTTAAGAGTGAGTAGGGCCACACTGGCATATTATATGGGTACTGGTCCTATGGCTGGGTATGAATAAGCTCTCAGCCCTGAGGCACCTCTCCAGCCCCCGTATTTTTATTTTAGATGAGAACATACAGCATTGTATCTTGAATGGACATTAATTTTTTCCTTTCTGTGAAGACACAGGCTTCCATGGTTTGGTCTGTAATGTGCTTGATCAATAATTGAGTGTGTTAGTGCTGGCTCCACAATGCTCCTGAAATCTCTCCCTATGTCAGAGGACTCTCTGAATGGGAATGGTGAGCATGGCTTAGCCCTTTGGAGATGCTAAGGGAAGAAAAACATGTGTGTGGTCATCTTTAAGGAGTGACTTCCAGTCCAAGAGACTTGAGCATTGAGTCCCATCCCTGGCTTGGCTTTTGTGCCCAGGAGTGGCTGTGGGAAGGAGGGTGGGATGGTGAGAGGGGTCAGGAAGCCAATTCAGGAACTCCTCCACAGTTCAGGCCTGGCCTGGCCAACAGACAAGGTGGTGAATATCCATGTGTTTCTGTGACCTCCGCTGAAAGGAGGGGCCAGGTGAGGAGCTGCTGTGCTGTCCTTCCTCATGCCCAGCAGGCACGATGCGCTCAGCGACAGCAGATGTCACCATCTCTTTGCTGCTGCTGTTGTTGAAGATTTAGCTGGTTTCCCTGCAGCCCATTGGTGAGATGCTAGTGGTGACCACCAGGGTCTTCCCATTCATGTCATGAAGACAGAGAGGGGTGTAGAATGGACTCAGCAATTGGGGGAAAGATCTCAAATACATCTCACACATACACACAACACACACCACACCAACACACATCTCACACATCCTACCACACACTCCCTACAATACACTTATAAACACATGCAGCACACACATGTGCATCACACATAACCTACCACCACACAAACATCACACATCCTACCACACACTCCCTACAATACACTTATAAACACATGCAGCACATACATGTGCATCACACACAACCTACCATACACATCCTACACATCACACATATCCTATTGCATACATAACTTACAATATGCTTATATCACATATACTGCATCATACACAACCCATCACATACATATTATGCACACATTCCTCATACACACATCCCACCACACACATACACACACCCCACAGCACGCACACACGCCCATCACTCTCCAGCACATACCATGCTACATATATAGCACACACCCCTACCACATATATACATACCCATCAGAAACCCCACCACACATGTTATACACACAAATCTTGCATGCATCATACACGTAACACTCCATGACACCACATCACACGTACCATACACATACCACCATATACTCCATCAGACACACATCACACACATCATTACATAATGCCCATTACACACATGCCACATACCCATGGCACACACAGCACATATATCCCACCATACAGACATTCCATTACACATGCATACATATACATCACATACAGACAAATAATGTGAGAGAAATCCAAGGGAAGTTAAGCTCACTCTTATTTAAAAATATGGTTCCTTACCTGCTGTGCTATAAGTAAATGCTACTGTATATTTAAGGGCCACAACACACTTTCTAGGTACACACAGGTAGGAAAATGCCTGCTATATACTGGAACAAATTAAAAATGTCTTTTTTTCAGAACTGAGGACCGAACCCAGGGCCTTGTGCTTGCTAGGCAAGCACTCTACCACTGAGCTACATCCCCAACCCCCGAATTAAATATTTTAAAGCACAATTGGCAGGTATTACTTTCACAACTGCAGGGCTGTTTATAACCTTATAAACAACTGCAGCTTCTCTGAGATTTTCCTTCCCTCTCCCCAAGTCATCAGTGCCCAGTGAGGTGGGGCCAGCTGACTCTCATAGGTAAGACAGGTAGTCTAGCTCAGGCTATTGTCCCTGCTGATGCTGGAGGTCTGTCTCAGGTCTGTCCTGAGAACCTATGTGAACAATGGCAGGAGGTTGGTCCCTTGCCTGGATATCCCAATGAGTATGCCTCTCAGCTCTAGGTGGGGATATACAGTGTGCCAGTCTGCTTATGGCAGGGACTACAGGTGCATGGCAGACAGAGGACTTCCCGAGCTCCCCGAGGCAGCCAAAAGCCAGTGCCATCCCTCAACAAGGCTGCAGTGCACTGGCTGTCATCCTCCCTCTCCTTCAGAAACGCTTCTCTGCAGAGATGCCCCAAGTAGGGCCTGGGTAGGAGCAGCGCTTGCTGCCTACCTCAAAGAGGTTTTGACTCCTGGGCAGGCGGGAGGGAGGAGAGAGCCTCACCACAGGCGTGAGAAGGTTCTTGTCTCACCTGCAAGGCAGTGACAGGAATGCATGTGCGGGCCACAGTTGTAAATCGGGAGGGAGGAGGGAGAAGCAGCAAGGGGAGGAAGGGAGAGGGAGATCAGAGAAAGGTGCCTTCCTTCCGGAGATCCTCGTAAGCAAGCGCTCCCTGCAGCTGGATGAGGCCCGGAAGGGAGGGTCCCCAGAAACAACGGGAACATCGGCTCATCTTTTAACAGCCATGTCCATATACTCGGGTCTTTTGTGTATAAAAGGCTAATAGGCTGCAGTGATTTAATGCGGTAATTGGGTATGTGAAAGAAAGCATAAACTCACCTTTAAAGAGAAATGAGGGAGTAGCAAGCATCTCCTAGACAAAGTATTTCCCACGCACGTTGGGCGCGCAGGACCAGCCATCTTCCGTGGTGAGGACTGTGGATGAAGACACCTGGGCTCACGCAGGCTCCTAGGGACTTGGCATGCGCTACTAAAGCTCCAACTTGGAGCTGGGCAGGTGGGGAGCACAGCCTGTCCAGGTCCAGTTTTGCTGCAGAGGCCTGGCGTTCCTCCTCCCTTTGACCTTCTATGGTGGTAGGCCTGGACTCGCTGTCAGGCAGAGTTGGCCTTGTGGTTTCCTCCAGGGGACCCCTGACCTGGCAACCGGGGGTTCGCTACATGGAGAAGCTAGCGTTCCCTACCTTCCAGCCAAAGCTGGACAGTCAGCACGAGCGGAGAGCGAGGCGGACTGTGGTATCGCTCACCCCGGGTGGGAGTATCCCGTCAAATTCCATGTTAAGGTTGAACAAGATGGAACCTGTGCCCGGGCCCTGAAAGAACAGTTCATCACTCTCTGGGCCTCTAGAGAGCTACCTACCCAAACAAGGCCAGGGCTTCTAAGGAGGAACCAGCTAGGAGAAGAGAAGCGGAAAGACCTTGCTGGGCAGAAGGAACAGCGCTGTGAAGTCCTATCACAGGAGGAAATTCAGTGAGAGGACAGAGCGAGACTTGTGTGGCCGCAGGGGCACTGGGGCTGGGGCTCCCAGGCCTGGTGATGTGGGAGTGAACTTGGTCAGAGCCCTGCAGGACCTCGGTCCCCCTCAGCCTTTTGGCCCAGGAGAACTGTCCTGTCCCCTGGGAGTTTCTTGTCACTCTGAGGACTCATTGCCGGGGGAGACATCTCAGACAAATCTCTTTTATTTTCAGGACCACATTTAAAGAGTTTGCCGAGAAGCACGGCCGGGATCAGAGGTTTCGACTTGTTCAAAAGCGGAAGGATCAGGAGCACTTTTTCAACCAGTTCATACTGATCCTTAAGAAACGGGACAAGGAAAACAGACTAAGGCTCCGTAAAATGAGATGAGTGCAGGGTGCAGCAGGACAACGGGCGGTGGAGTGTGCTCGTGAGGGGACAGGCGGCGGTGGCCAGCCCAGCTCTGCACAGCTGAGGCGGTGTGGGCACTGGGTGTTCTCGGAGAATTACTGTTTCATATTGAAGCTCCCTCTTTTGTACATTATCCCCAGTTTGATGCATTTCTAATTGCCATGAAGCGTTGAGTCCTTAAGTGTTTTAATTATGCAAATTACTTGTAATATACACAAATTATATAACTCCACTGCAGGTTTTGAGGGAGCAGAAGTAGGAAGCATCCACAGCCATCTCGAGGTGTTTCCGCTGCACCGGACCGTCCAGACTTCTCTGAGACCGTCACAAGTCACCCCCTTTCTGCAGGCTTTCCGTGGTGTCCCTAGTAACGGTGTCTCTCGTTTTCTGAGTAGTAGAAATAGGGTTTCATTATTCATCATAGTGATAACCAAACATTTTGACACCTGTGTGGACCATGATTGCCTGCAGGTGGCCAAAAGTGGCCACGGATTCCTCCACAAGCGTGTCCAGGCCAGGAGAAGGGAGCTGTGCTGGCTGTCAGAAGTCCTTCTTTAAAAGAGTTATTTTGTACAAAATCATCGTATTACTATTTGAGTTATTTTTATTGTATGCCCAGAGTTTGCATGAGATTTTTCTCATCATCTTTGTATAAAAATTTTTTTTAATCAATAAATATTTTAAACCAGTGTGTTTTCTGGCTGAGATGCCCAACCACAAGCTTAAATGGAGAAATTGTTTCAACTAAAGATTTCAAATGCTTCTAGGGAAGATGATGGCCTGCACAGTGGGCTGCGTCAGGGTGCTGGAACAGAATCTGACTGCACCGCGCCTGCCCTCAGGGGCTGGAACAATGCTTGGCAAAACGTCACCTAATTAGTTATTTCAAGTATTGAACATCTGCTCATTTATGTCAAGGTTTGTGGAGTCCCTATTTCAGAGACAATGCCTTTGCCTAGCAATCAGTGACCCCTCACCTACTTCTTACTTTTCATAGAGCAGGTTTTGCTACACATGTTAGAATGCATTTGTGTTTGGTGGGACCCAAACCACATTTACCCAATGAGTTCTGGTTTTAATACCTGTGCTATTAACACATCACCCTCTCTGCTGAGTGACTCCTGGGTTTCAGGGTGATAGCTGAAGCTTGGGATGGTGGGTAATCTACCATCCAGACCCTTGAACAGGAAGCTGTGAGGCAAAATACAGGGGCAGTCTTGGGAGGCGCTGACACCAGGTAGGCGTCTCACTACAGCCAGGACTGGAGATCATCCTGTGACTGAACAGGGACTTTGTAAAAGAAAGAATTGTTAATCCGACAGGTGTCAAGTACAGACAGTGGTAAATAATGCAGGGCTGACAGGTGAACAGAGCAGCCTTGGGGCCCAGATTAAGCATCTGAGCAGAGGGCTCTGCCGTGATGGAGGAACCACCTGGCTGGAGAGGATGTAGCCCTGGAGCAGTGAGAGGCAGATAAGGCATGTGTTGCTGTGCTGGTAGAACATACTGGAAGGTCATCCCAGGCCTTGAGAGCGCCCTGCGCCTCACTGGCTAAACTCTATCCTAAACCACCAGGGCAGGTGTCAGAGTGGGGACAAGGCAGCCACTAGGTGCTGGCTAGGAGCCTCTAGTGCAAGGGTAGCAGGGACAGGCAGGGCCAGGGGAATGTCTACTATGCTCCTGCGTGTGCACAAAAGCAGCTCCCTCCCCCACACCAGAGAGCATCCATTTGAACGGCCACAGCAGGCTCATTTGCTGCTGTGAGGCTGAAAACCTAACCACAAACTGTCATGGCTCAGGGCTGAACTGGTGTCTTGAATGGCCATCTTATCCACCCAGCAAAGCCTGAGAAGGGCTTAGTGTATGAGTGCTTTGTGCAAAATGGGAGCAGAATGCACAAGGCTGCCTGCAGCTCTAATGGAACACAGAGCACGAGGATGGCCTGCCCAGCTCTATAATAGAACACGGAGGACAAGAGCGGCCCGAGTAGAACACAGGGGTGGGTGACGCTGCCTGTGCAGCTCTGGAAGGCATCCGTGCACTCCCTCCCACACCTGGACCTGCTGCCCTACACGGATGCCTCTCTCTCCCCACACCTCTGCCACACTCGGACCCCTTGTCACCTGCTGACACAGCAGGAAACGAGCAGGCCAGGATCGATGGCTCTCCCTCCCAGGGTGTCGCCATCACAGTTGCCTAGAGAAACCCTACAGGTCCTGGTGAAGGGCAAGCTTCACTGTGGATGGACTTTAAGCCTATCAAAAGTGACAGTTTTGTAAACAGTGCCATCCATGCTGTGAAAGGGGTGCTGGCGCATGTGCTGTGGTTAATGAGGCCAGTTAAAGATTTGGAAAGCGTGAAATTAAAGCATGCACATGTCCCAATAATTAGGATGGTTCATGCTGCTGTGGTAGCTGCCCCTCCCTCTACGTTCTGCCTCAGTGCCAGAGGCTGAGGGGCCAGAAAACCTCCAGACCTGTGGTGAAGAGATCTACAGTTGGCATATCAGTCTGAGTTCCATTGCTAACACAAAATGCCTGAGGCTGAATGATTTGTAACACAAAGAAGTTTACTTGTTTGACGATTCTAGCAGCTCAAGAGCATGATGCCGTCTTCTTCCTGACTCTGGCAAAGGCTTCATGGTAGAAGGCATCACAATGGCAGGGCTATGTGGGGAAGGAAGACATCACATGGTAAGACAGGACTTCAGAGAGAAGACAGCCATCCAAATAGCCATCCTCTAGCAAGCACTGCCTATCAGTTCTTTCAAGGAGCAGGTCCCCAGTGACATAGTCACCCCCCCCCACCCTGGGCCTCACCTCCTCTTGAAGGAGGCATGGAACCTCCACAGGGTTCAACATATGAACTCTGGGAATGGACTCAACCTCATTCAAACCACAACAGTTGGCATGGGACACAGGGTAGAGGGGTTTATGTTCATGAACTTGGATTCGGGTGTCAGGTGTACTTGGGGAAGGGTGTTGTGACCATCAGCCTGTGACTGCACCAAAGTGGCCATGATGTCAGGAATGCAGGTGTACATGCATAAACCACACTGCCTTTCGTGGCTGGGTTATACCTACTGGAGGACTGTTGCGTTGGATTCCGCCTATTTGCTGAGGGAAATTCCTCCTCGCATCCTGCTTCTCCCAGATGCAGACTTTCTTTCCCAATGGAAACACCTCCACTGTCACCTGATCCCTTAGTCAAGTGTCTCCATCCATGGAGAAGGAACGATGTCTCCATCCATGGCATCCTGCCCAGTGTCTTGTTTTATCATGGCCATTCAGTTCACTGGCCTCTCCATGTACCCTGCCACCCAGATCCAGCAGCTCTGTGGTGTCTGGTAGGGACAGCAGGAGACCTGGCCATAGTGACACTACTGTCCTGTGGACCAGGTTCATGTCTCAGACCAGCCACCCACATGCAGAGCTGTCTTATTTGGAGACATCGTGCCTAACCCAAACCTGGTGGGAAGTGGCCCTTCATTCAGTCCCAGTTTCCTGGCCTGCCTATTGAATTGTTAGGTCACCACTGGGCATGCGGAGTGTGAGGATCTGCTGCACAAGTACAGAAACCACCACAAGTCTGGGGGTTTTCTGATCCCTCAGCAGCTCCTGGCACTGAGGCAGGGTGTAGAGGAAGTGGCTGCTGCAAAGGCAGCATGAACATCCTAATCCCTGGGACATGTGCTTCCAGTAAGTACATAGTAGGACAAGAACATCTGGGCCTCTGGGGTTTGCCAGGTAAACCCTGCTCTTGGGGCTCAGCTCTGACTGGCCAGTAGGACACCATTAGCTCTGACAAGCCATGGGAAAGGCTTAGGGAAGAAAACTTGGACCACCATGTGTTGAAATGTTGCTCAGCAAGACTAAGAACTGGAAGGAACCAGTCCCAAGATGAGGCTGGAGTATTGAATACCTTCTCAAGTCTCACATCCGTCTCAAGAAGTGGATCCTAGAGTCGAGGGGGTTTTTCCATCACTGCCTCCCTCCCCAACTTCCCCTATTGTTTCAGATGGTCAGTGACCGTGAGTCCAGAAGGTGATTAACTTGACCTTGCCTTATAGTGACTCGACCCCTGGTTGGCTTTTGCTGAGTCAGGACCACAAATTTGTCCTCATCAATGACAGAGAGCGTAAGGCGGTGGGCCAGCCCGGTCATGTGATCTGTCCCTCAAGTGTGTCCTTACCTCTTCTCTGTTGCCTGTGACTGAGGATTTTCCACAGAGCAAGCCCTGGGCCCCTATTCTTCCAGCCATCCCTGGATCTAGCAACAGGGAAAAATTTTGCATGGAAGTGGGAGGCAGAACAAGCTTTCAGGTTGGTTCTGTCTCCCTCCCTGCTCAACCTGGGGGCCCCAGACCAAAGCTCTGCGAGCAGCTATCCCACCGGGAACCTACAGGGTAAGGGCTGTTGTTCCCACCCCTTCTGTAGCTTGTCCACTCTGTACTTTGCCTGGGTTTCCCTCAGTGACAGCCCTGTGATCCCCCTCCATCCAGCCTTCTCCACGTGCCTGTTGAGGGCTTGTGTCTACTTGCTGACACCACCACCCTCATGCTCAGCAGTGGTTATCGCTTACCTGCAATGACACGGTTACACCAGAAACTGAGTCAGGAGGGTGTGGAAGGGACCCAGCCCTCCATGTGTTCATAGCCTCAGCATGAGACACTTGCAAGGGCCATCTTTCTTGTAGGAAAGCAGCCAGGGCTCTGCCCCTTAGTCACATATATGGGAGCTAACTTTTTTTGTTCACACAATCATGACAATGGTTCCAAGAAATGAAAGTCACAGGGAAGTGAAATAGCTTCTGTATTCACACCATCTGTGGATGTGACAGACAGTGAGCAGTGGTATGACAGACAGTGAGCTCAAGTGTAATCAGGTAAGCCCCCAGGGACAAAGGTGCTCTAGAAATCCATAGGAAGGCATGTCAATGATATTTCAATTATTTCTCTCCTTTTATGGCTGCAGGTTGATTAAATTTGTGCAGTCTTATGCATATATTTAAGGCATTCTAGAAAAACAGCAAACTATTGGAGAGGTTCCTAAGTTACTGTTTCCTATAAGTTTTGTATGTGACGTGCTCATTTTAAATGCCACTAGCGTAACGTGGGTGAGCTCCATAGTCACCTCTCACTGTTAAATTATAAATAGTACTAAATAATACATCTTCTTCCTGAGTCAGTCCATTGGCCAACACCAAATGTTCACAGAGGACAAGTGTGTTGGAAGGAGAGAGACAATCCTCCTGACTGCTACTTGCAAATTTCCCCATCCCGCCACAATGGCAGCTGTAACTTCCCCAAGTGGTCATGGTCAGGATCCTGCCTGTCACCCTGAACTCCAGGTGGGAATGGAGCCTTTGACCTACCCTGACCTTCTCCCTGTAAGGACTTCCCATGGACTCTGTGCTTGCACTTGATACAGGTGTCCTGGCCCTGGCTGGTGGGTTCTCTGCCCACAATGCCTTTATCTACACCTGACAGTTGTCAGCTGCTCATCGGTGATGCCAGGTTCATCCTGTGTCCTTCACCCTAGAGCTTCCTGCCCAGTGCAGATGTCTGTCAGGGAGCTCAACCTCAACACCCTACCCCATGGGATGTCCTTACAGGAAGAGGGACCACTGGCCTCCTGGTCTCAAGCAATAGTGTTCAGAATGAAAGCTTTAGGAGCCATTGGCAG